ATCAGGCATTGGAACGGCCTGCCCAGAGAGGTGGTGGATTTACCATCCCTGGAGGTTTTTAAGCAGAGATTGGATGTGGCCCTTAGTGCCATGATATAGTAATTGGAGTTGGATCAGGGGTTGGACTTGATGATCTTGGAGGTCTTTTCCAACCCAATCTATTCTATGATTCTATGATTTAACGGGCAACAGGGAACGAGCGCTCCCTCCGTGAGGGGAACGGGCAACGAGCTCCGTCCGACCCTCCGTGAGGGGAGCGGGGAATAAGCCCCGTCCGACCCTCCGTGAGGGGAACCGGGCCGGGACTGCCGCAATATGTGGAATATGTCAAGATTCTCCTAAGTCAGGATGTTTTTTGGTGTACGCTCTTTGTGTACTTTTAAGCCTCATCAGCAAGGGAGTCTAATGAGCGCAACGGGCAGCAGGAGCATCCCTTAGTCAAGGACATCTGGGAAATAACAAGATTTAAGGATGTAGTAAATCAAGATGTTGATGTACGTCTATGAATACATGGCTAACTTGGCAAAAGACTTAAGGTCTGTGTATCCCAGAGCTGAACTATCTTCATTATAATACTAAAATCACTCCTATAGGTAAAAAAGGCCCTGCCCAGGTGCAGACCCATCCTTTGAGAATGTGGAGAAGTTCACTGGGGTTCCGTAATTTGTATGGATATTACTAAATGATCCTAATAATAGAAGGGCTGTACTTGGAAAGGGACTAAGTCTTAAATTCCGTGTATAAATAATTTATGGATACTACCTCCAGTACAAACTACCATTAATGTGCCCGAAGGGAAAACACTGGCACAGGGCGCCCGGGGCACTGATGGAGTCACCATCCCTGGAAGTGTTCAAAAAAATTGGTTGTGGCACTTGGGGACGTGAGGATGGGTTAATGGTGGCCTTGGTAGTGCTGACTTAATGGTTGGACTCTGATCTTAGAGGGCTTTTCCAACCTTAATTATTCTACGGAGAACGAGAAGGAAAGGAAGGAGCGGTTACCAAATTCCCAGCATTCGGTGTGAATTCTTAAAGAAGGAAAATACCACTAACACTTTTCATTAATTTGCCCTATCTGAAGGCATGAAAAACCGGGATCCCCGAATACCCGCTGTTCAAAGGCACTAATGAGCAGCTATTAGTTGTTTTGCTAAATGCTGTAACCCGAGTCTTTGTGGTGCTCACAGGAGACAGGTGAGTGCTGCTGGATAAGAGCCTCAAGCAGCCAGACTGAAGGATTTGATGAAATGCTCCTGTTGTGATACTTCGCAGCCTGTCGAGGTTGGTTACCTGATCCTCGGCCGTACCTGAACCTCATTGTTGCAGCGTTTAATAACTGAATATCCAGACGACCTATAAAGGTGCCTTTGGGGAAAGAATGATGGGAAAAGAGTCGACGTTCCCGGCTCGAAATGGGCAACAAGCAAACCATTTTCACTCAAGAGCAACTGGATGCATATCAGGTATAAACCAAACGAAATGATTGTTTGAATAATGGCAAAGATTTTTTTTTTTTTTAGCAATCTCTTTTAAATATTAATAGGTAGAAGTACTGAATTACACCACAGATTTTAGTTACATAGTTCGATTTTTACCTCAGGAAGAACAGTTATGAAATACTTCACATTGCGTGCCAAAAAGAGAGCTTTAATGCTTAGTTACGTGTTTTAAAATATCACTTCATCGAAGTTACTGTACAGGAAAAGTTTGGGCCAATGTTTGCTAAAAACTCATTACATGTTATATCTTTCCTTGTTTCGCAGGACTGCACATTTTTCACAAGGAAAGAGATCCTGAGGTGAGTATTCTGTGTGCATTTTGTGGGTAAAGGACATAGATTGCTCCAGTGGCAGCTACATACAGGGTCAGGTATTTAAAATTTGTGTAAATCTATTTTAAAATTGGTTTTAAAGTGATGCCTTTGGGCAATCTTAGTATTTTTGTTGGGGTTTTTTTTTTTGTGTACAAACTCTGTGTTATCTATCCTAAACTGAGACAGAACTCTAAATTTTGTATTTACGTACCAGTCCCTCTTTATTTATCAGAAAGAAACGCAACCAGTTCTATTTAGTGGATACTTTGCCAGCAACATCCACATTTCACATTGTTTTATGACAGATGCTTCAAAATATACTGTTATCCTTTGGAATATTTGGCCTGATTTTCATAAATCCTTAACGACTGTGTCCAGCTTTCTTCACGTCTGCTTATAAATAATTACACTGCTGCTTCAAAGTACACTTCCCCCCTTCATGTGCCTCACTGAACTCTCCATTTAATCTCTGGCCAGAGGTTCTGATAAAGACAAGATGGGGAGTGGGACTGAGAATCTTCGCTGAAAACCTGAATTTCTTCTCCCCTTGTAAGAAACACTCACCCAGACAGTACCACACACGATGCTGAAGCTGTGTTTGCCCTCCCTGACCCTCGGGCACGTGAGCACAAAGGGAATCGTTGCATTTCTCTTCTCTCAAGGTGCCATCACGCAGGTTTTTTTGGCAGTTTCTCTGAAGGGCAGAGCACGGGTGGCAGTTGGGGGCAGGACTTTGGAACCCTGACATCTGTGTACGGATTTTAGACAGCATGAACTAGGAATTGGTTCTGTAAAAGGTGGAATCTGTATCTGCCTCCTTTCCCCAAAGGAAACAGAGGCCAGAAAACCATAACTATGTCATGAATTAAGACATTTATTATTGATAAGGATCCCTTTTAAAATTCTCTCCTATTGTTTTGTTGGTAACAGCTGTGAATGGGATCCTTTCTCTAGTGCAAGAATAAAGCAAAGCCACGTTGAAAAAGCGGTGAATGCATTCCAATCCTGACGCACATTTTGTGTCTCTTGAACCTGAGTTCTGTGGAAAAACAGGAAGGTACTTGGGGTGGATAAAAACCTGTTAGGGTGGATCCCAGATCCCTCTTCCTGCCCATGACTTTAGGTTTTATTCTGACGTTTGAACTGAATTTTTCACACTCCAGTTTCAGCTCGTTGTTTTTTTGGCCGCGCTGTGCAAGCAGATCCCTCCTGCCTTGCCACCAGCATTTCTGTGTTTGGAAACAAACCAGGTGGACCTTCAGGTTGAAGGTCTTGTGCCTTGTTATCCTGAACACACATCCCAGTGACACCACATGCCTGAACACCTCTGTGGAATAAATCTGACACAGTAAAAATGTGGTTTTGGCTGCATAGCTGTGTAAGCATTTTCACCTCACTGTTCTATAATGAAGCACTCTATTTTTCACCAGTTACACTGTGTGTTGCTCTTAATGCTGGTTCTTCCACCGCCACCATAGTGATTCTGTGATATATTATAGATACACTTGTTATATATTAAGAGATGGACTTGTGGGTCCCTTCCAGCTGAGAATATTCTGTGATATATAATATATATATTAAAATATATGTCACTTAGTGACCGATCTCCATCTGGAAATGGAGGAAAAGAGCGAACAGTGAGGTGGAAGAGGCAAACACACCTTGTTCTCAGGGGTCTAAAGGACTCATTCACCAAACAAGCCTTTCTTTCTGCCTCAGGTTGTTTTACAGGTACCGAGACCTGGCCCCTCAGCTCGTTCCCCTCGACTACACAGACAAACCAGCTGTGACACTGCCCTACGAGCTCATTGCCAGCATGCCGGAGCTCAAGGTACGAGCCAGGCACACGACTCGAGTGACACACTGCAGTTTAATCTGCCCTGTTTTAATAATTCATCCAGGACTAATTGCTGGGAGCCCTGGCCTACAAATAAATTTGGGTTATCGCCAGCAGAAGTCTTTCTGGAAGCTTCTAGCGATTCCCAGAAAACACCCTTCATGAAGCTGCACAAAGTTACAAGCCAGCTGCAGCTGTGTCTGCTGCTCTGACAGGAACAGAATGGCAGAAAGGGGAGAATTTGCCAAAAAAGAGGTTTCAACCAAAACAATCTGGCTCCAAGTGCCTTATCTGCACTGCAATCCCTGCTGGTAAAGCCTGACCTTCCCTCGCTCCTCTGTTTTCCCAGGACAACCCGTTCCGGCAGCGGATCGCAGAGGTGTTCTCCGAGCACGGCGACGGCAACATGACTTTGGATGATTTCCTGGACATGTTCTCAGTGCTCAGTGAAATGGCTCCCAGAGACCTGAAAGCTTATTATGCTTTTAAAATTTACGGTGAGTGAGAGGTGCATAACAAGAGGAAAGGCTGGGGGAAATCCTGCAGCTTCGTGCAGGAAGGGATGCAAAACCTTCAGTTTGTCACCACGATGATTTCTAGTTGGCATTTCTTTAAATTCCATTTCAGTGGTTTGTTCTCTCTCTCTCTGATAAAAACTTTTGGTTTTCTTTATCCTTTTGCCTCTTACTTACTTGGGATAAGGATTTACTGCAAAATTTACAGCCTGAAATTATCTGCGGTTTTCAAGAGCTGATAAACATTTAAGAAATATTTCTGTCTGAAGAGCTGCTTGGAAAAGTGCAGCACAAGGGATTTGGCTGCCCATAAATCTGTAGGGTGGATTTGGGAGGGGAAGGCAGGGAAGAACAGTGCAGGCTTTTTTTCCTCCAAGGACAAATTTAAAGATTTCATTTTTTTTTAAGGGACTATTTTCAGTTATTTTCTTTATGTCCAGCTAAAGACAAGCAATATATGGAAGAAACAGAATCTTGCTGGGATGATTTATAATTGTTACCCTTATATATGAGAAGGAGAAATGATTAGACTTTTATTTTGTAACTGAGTTTTTTTACAAGCACAGAGAGGTAACTTCCTTTCTGATTTGAGTTCTACTGATATAAATCCATCACATCCTGGGAACCAAACCCTCCTGTTGGGTCTTGGCAGCCAACCACGTGAAATGCCGAAATTTAAATTAATTCATATTTAAATTAATTTTGTCTCTTTTGTCAGATTTTAACAACGATGATTACATATGCAAATCAGACCTAGAGAAAACTGTCAACAAATTAACCCGGAATGAGCTGACCCCAGAAGAAGTCAGCCTTGTTTGTGAAAAGGTCATTTACGAGGCTGACGCGGACAATGATGGCAAACTGTCCTTGGGAGACTTTCAGCACATGATCCTCCGAGCCCCAGATTTCCTCAGGTAATATTTGCTTTTCATTTCTAACACAGAATTGCTCTTAGTTTCTCTGTCAAAGGCCTCTGAAAGGTGTATTTCATGTTTCCTCAGCCTTCTTAGATCCCCACTCTTCCCTGGCAGGTTCTAGTGGAGCTGCAAAGACTGGGAGAACAGATGCTTGGAAAAAAAGCCTGGAGGCTTCTTGACTTGCTTTTGAACCTCCAAATGTACTTTTTATGTGACAAAAAGTCCTTGTAACTTAAAAAGTTAATAGGAGCACTCAGGCTGCATTGGTGGGTAGGTCCATGAGATTTGCTCACTCAGTGCCTGACATGGTGTTAATGTGGTTCTGATGCACAAATTACACAAAGCAGCACTCAAACCTTGCATTTATTTAATGTACCCAGTCCTTGCAAGTGCTTCATAAGATGAACTTTCCAATTTTACAGCACAGCCCTTGAATTAATTTAGTTAATCCTTTGCACAGTGACACGTAAATGATCGTGGCTTCCTCTTGTTAACAGCACATTTCACATTAGGATCTGAATCCAGTGAAACACATGGATGGAAGCACTTCTGGAACCTTAAAAAACTATCACTTCACCCAAGATTACCAACCACAAGAGCACAAAATGAGAGGGGCAAAGACTTTGGTTGCTTCAGACTTCAGAAAACTGTTCTTGTTTTCCTCTTTTAAAGGATCAATTAATTAAGCTCTGCATCAAGATTTCCCTGGAATTTACCAAAATGTCTATTCCACCCTCAGCTAGAGCAAACCTGGCCTGGACAGTGAGATGGGAAGTATTCTTTTAAAGTTCAGATACCACCAGGCAGTAAAGGAGCTTGTATAGCTTCTAAAAATTCCCAAGAAAATGCCTTAACCAGGAAAAAAACCCACTTGAGAGTAGTTTCCAAAACACTGTGATTAATCAAAATTGTGTAAGCAACTCCTGATCATTTACAGTCTTAATAAATGCTCCAATGAATCAATTTGCAGATGTATTCTCCAGAGTGCAGGATTTACAACAAGAAACCCTTCCCCAGGTTCTGTCCCTCTTCTCTAATTTCAGAAATCCCCTGTTTTCCACACCAGACTCCACGTGCACAAATGATCAACAGGACTGACAAACTAAGTCTGTAAAATTCTCTTTTCATTAAGAAGTTTATTTATGCAGTGCTCGGGGTCCTGCACAACAGAAGTAAAAACAGACATCCTGTAATAACCAACAGTTGCAATACAAAGATGAAAATCAATGAGAAGTGTTTAAGAAAGCAGTTGTAACGTGTGGGAAGGGTGGCAGCCGAAAGTGGTCATCCTAAAAACACAATTTACAGTTCTTTTTACAAGATTTTGGGATGCTTTAAGTTCCCCTTCAGAACCAAGTTGTAAGTCCCAGCTTAGCACACAGTTCCTGCAGAAAGGCTGGAAAGCTGTTTTTTATCACCTTTATCAAGCACAGGAACTGCAGGGATCAGTGAGAGATGGGCCAGGGAACGAGGCAGCCTGGAACGCTCAGCCTGCAGTTCCCACTCTCGTTCCACCGAGCAGATCTTCAGTTAAACTAGAACTGAGGACACAACTCATCATTCCTCCCCCAGCTCTTCCAGAACAAAGGAGCCCATCCTCACCCAGCTGTTTGTTCCTTCCCCCCCTGGCACAAACCAGTCCAAGAGAACACAAAAATCAGGGCAGTTTTGAGCCAAAGGCACCCCCACAACAACCCCTCAGCAACCGTCAGGGAGATGATGAAAAGCATCTCACATGGAAGGAGAGACCAAAGAACTTTCAGCAGCAGTAAAGAGACTTACAATAATCCATAGGATTTATAAATCTGAGGCTGGAATTCTGATGCTGGCACAAGGCTCTGATGTCAGGGAACACCAGCTGTGCCCATCAGCACAGGACACACCACACAAGTGTTAAATCAGTGTTAAGAACAGCAGTTCCACCAGTTCTGGACACGCTGACAGCTCTGCACCCAAAAAGGGTGAGGACCATCCCAAATATTGCAACCAGCCTCAAGAATAAGGGCAACCACAGAATTCCATGAGACTCATTAAAGTAAGGGAATTTGAGAACGTGCTCAAAAATGGGCTTGTTTCTCTACAAACCAACTGTTAATCAATGACCTGCCAGTTTAGTGGTATTCAGACACTGAGGATGTGTAGTAAGCACAAGTTAGTTTTTGCAGATCTACCTAAATCCCTCAGTTTTACAGATTTTATACCCAATTTCAGGGTTTTTCCTCCTTAGTTGAAGAAAGCTTAGATACATTAATGTAAATGAACATGGTTTGCTTTGCCCAGCTCGAGATGAGTTCTTGATACTGTCCACAGGCAGACCTGTGGCACCAAGTTAGATAAACCACTTATTTTTCCAGTCACTTTGAAAAAAATAAGTCTGGCTCAACACCTGGCTGTATAAAGCAGAATATGGATGTGAGACAATCCACAGTTACTGCTCAGCCAGAAGCAAATCATTCCACTGCTCAGTTTTGTGTAGGAAAACAGCACTCAGACCACGCCTTCTCATCTCCCCAGTTCTGCCTCAATCATTTCTTGAAGCGCAAACTCTCCCTTTAAAACCATCCTTATCTCAAGACAGAGAAGCTGCTTGTCCAAGCTGTGTTAACCACACTCTGAAACACAGTGCCTGGAAGCCTCTTCAGATGATTTTATCCTGCAAATACATCTGTGTGTAAGTCCACCACGGTGCACAATCACCAAGTCCTCGTGCTAAAAAGCCACAAGGAAACAAAAAAAAAAAAAACAAAACCAAACCCCCATAAGGTTCTGTTTAGAGGAAAGCTTTAATCACGACAGAGCTTGTTGTAATCTGCCATTAAAAAAAAGGTTGGTAGAATCTAAAATGCATTTTTATAAACCAGCAACGTACACAGTGAAATATCCTTTTTCCATCTCAGAAGAACGGGCAGTATTCCTGTTGAATCCAGTTGCAGGCTGCAGATTTATAATGTTAATTATGAAAACAGATCTGTAATTATGATAGATCTTGAACTACAGTAACACTCACTAGTGCTACTCTGAGGCCAGAGCTTAACACCACAAACTTGAAGGAAACAAAACCGGTGAGTCAATTCAACAACTTTAAAATCAACTTACCCTTAAAATCAATTCTACCCTTTAAGTGCAGTTGTCAATGTAAACAAAGCGTGTTAACAGTCCCAGTGAGCTGCAGGACACAGCAGATGCTCTTACTGGCTCCTTTAGTCAGAATAATCGGGGTCAGAGCTGCAGCCCCCACCTGTCAGGGGCTGAACTCGGGGCTTGCATTTCACACACAGCAGTGTCGTGGGTGAGTTTGTGGCAATGAGTCCCCAGCCCGTTTCTGGCAGGACTGGTGTCATTTGCAGTGACGCAGGTGGTTGCTACCAGACATCAGCAGTGGGGACACCCAGCAAATATAATGGATATTATATTAGTTCCCAGCAAGGCAAGGTCAGCTGGGAAGAGTCTGTGTTCAGAGAGTGCAGGTGCAGCGTTGATTTGCATGTGTGAGCAGGTGTGCGTGGGAAACGCCACTGGCAGCGGTGCAGCAGTTCCCCTCTCGCCACTTAAAACTGGTTACGACTTCGTGACAGATTTGGGTGGAAAAGTTGCCCACTGTAAGGTGACAAATTCAGTGTAAGTGCCCCTGCCTGACCCTGACCTGGTTCTCCAAAAACAGATGACAGATCACCTGCACAGGACTGGCTGCAGCCAGTCAAACACATCTAAACACCTGGACTACTTCATTAAGCAGTCAAGTCTAACGTGGATATAAATTCCTGATGGTAAGGACCCATTATATTTACAGCACACTTTGGTTTTTTTAAAAAAATAGAGATTCCTTCGAGGAGAAATTTTGGTTTTTTTTTAAACTTCAATCGTACTTGTGGATTGTCAAGAGTAACAACACAACTAAGCCAGTGACAGGCAAAGGAGCTTCTCTGTAGTAGCAAAGAGGTGGAGCTGCAGAAAGCTCCCTCCCACCTTCTGAGAAGGTCACCAGCCTGCACTGCTCCCCTCGGGGCACGCCTGGGATGGTCTGTGAGCAGCTGCAGGCTGGGTATGCACGTGGATCATGCACGCACACACACACCTGCACTTTATTAACAGGGGCATTTCTGCTTCTTGTTCATCCTCCTCCACTGGGTACGTGACAGACACGCACACAAGGGTTGAAAAGTCTCTCAGCAAAGGTGCTGCATTCCCAGGCCACGTGTGATCTGCTCCCCCTCTGCTACACAACACCAGTGGCGAGCTGACCAAAAGGAACTTGTTCCATCTCCAAAACTGAAGAGTCAAACGATTACCAAAATAAACCATTTCTTATTCAGGTGGTCACAGAGTGACAAAGGTTTGTTGGGAGCACTGAGTCCACAGGCAGAGGAAACCTCACTCAGCACAGGCACAGTCCAGCTCAGGTTAAGGCCGTGTCCCTCACAGAAGGACACATCGGAAAAAGCTGCTTTTCTTTTGCTGGTCTGGTGTGATTTTGACTCCCTGGTTGCTGCCTTGTGGGCTATTGCCTTCCTGAAGAGGCAAAGAATATTCAGTTATTTATTTACACTTCACAGCTTCTCCCACCCCTATTTCATCTGGTCATTCTCTTGAGCCAAGCCCCACATACACAAAAACTTTCCCTAAAATCCACAGGAGGCTTCACTCATTTATCAGCCTTAAACCAGGCACAAAAAAATGTCTAGAACTGCATCTGCAGCTTTTGGCTTTAATAGCTCACACTGCACCTATGTTTCTTCTTTATATTAACTCAAAGAGAGCTGAGGTTTAAAAGATAATAAATTAAAGGGCATGCCTGGCTCTTGCTGAAACACTCCTGAAACGTCAGAAAGACCCAAAACATCCCAGGCCAATCAATTCCTGTCTGAACACACGAGGGTGGAAAGTATCATTAAACTGCTCTAACCCCCAAGTGACTTTTATTAAAATGAATAAATCGTTTTATTTAGAAAACCTCAGCTAATTCTCCTGAAATGCAGAGACAATTGTTTACAAGCCAAGGTCAGAGCCCAGCTTGACAGAACTAAAAATGCATTCCTAGAACATTTCAGTGATCCCTTATGAAAGAGACCGTGATACAGTTTTTATACACTGTGAAAAGTTCTTGCAATGTGGCTTTTGGGTGTTTCTTTCTTTTTTTTTTTTTTTCCTATTTAAATCCAGCATAGACAAAATAAGTTACTCACCAACTTCTTGTCCATTTTTGCTTTGATATCTCTTGCAAGAGTGAAAAACGCCTGTGACAAGTCAAACAGCTCAGTGTTACAGGGGAGGTAAAATATACCCCAACAAATAAATTAAATAACAAATACACCCCAACTCTAACATACTTTCTTGCTTAGCAATAAGCTGAGTTTCGACATGCACCAAACTCCTCAAGAACATCAGATTTTCAGGTTTTCTCCCCCCTGCTCCAGATTTTAATGCTCCTTCTCTACATCCACAACCTCCTTTTTGAGCCCAAAAGTCCCACCTGGGGATTGTGCAGTGAGAAAACGCCGTCCTTTATCAACCCTGTTCTTGAGCACAGAGACATCAGCTGAGCTTTCCCTTGTGCTGCCCTTTGCTGTGACACCCCGAGGGTGTTCTAAGCACTGAGTTGCATTTACATAAATTAGCATAATGTTAGTTAAACAACACCTTAATGGGAGGCAGGGAAATGTGTTTAAGAACCCACCCCCTGCACCCAGCAACGGACAGGCACCTGTCCTCAGTGTCTGTGTGCACACAGAAGACAGCAAACATCAGAAGAAGGGGGCTGTACTTACATTCTCTATGTTTATATTTGCTTTTGCACTGGTCTCCATGAATTTAATCCCAAAGCTCGCAGCAAGCTGAACAAAAGCAGATTTCCCATTAGTTGAACAGTTGCAGGAGCAGCTCCAAACACACCCCCCGGGCACAGGCTCTGCCCCTCCTGCCACGAGTCACCCGAGCTGGGGATTTACTCACACACAGCAACTTGCAGCAACCAGGAACTAAATCTCACTGCTGCTGGCCTGTGTTCTCACCAGCTTGGCTCTGCTTTTACACCCTGCACGTGTTTTAATCTGCTCCTTCCTCTTTTATTCTTCTTCTTGCATTGACACCCTGTAACCCCCGCAGTGCAGATGGGCTTTCCCTGCCTCAACCAGTGCCAGAAAAGACCATCCCATCTACCTGGTCTCGGTGGCTTTCGGCCCAAAAGAGACATTTTCTCAATGTCAAACTCTAACATCCTTCTCCTTAGAGAAATCCAGCTCGTTGCCTTGCACCTGACAGACAATCAACAACAATCCTTTAACACAGGCTCAGCTTTTTCATCCCACAGGGAAACGTCTTGCCATGACAGCCTGGAGAACGTTTAATCATTCCATTCAGGTGGTGCCACACTGACAACAATCAGAGCAGCTTGTAGACTTTGCAAAGCCTAAGGTGAAATCCAGCAAAGCCACAGAGCACTCACCTTCTCCCCTTGCTCTCTAGAGACTTGTCTTTTGTCGTTGGCGTCACATTTGTTGCCCAGGATCATCTTCTCGACGTCTGGAGACGCGTGCTGGGACAGAGAGAGGCAGACACGGGGCTTGGCTTTTATACATCAACACTGGCAGGCACAGGAGGCACCACCCAAGTGCCCAGCGTGGAGATGCTGGTGCTAAAAACCTCCTGGAGATTCCCAGGCTCCCCCCAGCCCCCTCATCCCAGCCTGTCGTGGCACCATCACATTGGGTGCCCTCCAAAGTACAGGGGCAACACAACAGATCACACAACAACAGCCCCCACCACAAATCACTGCCAGCCAAGTCAGGGTGTTACCGACTTCCACCCCATGGATGGAACATCAAATGTTCCTGATTTCCATCCCATTTATTTCCCAAGTACCCTCCAGCACAAGGAAGGTAACACTTCCGAAGCAGTTAAGCTTCAATCACTTTCCTCAGAGGAGGAAACAGCACCTTTAACAATCAGCAAGCAGAGAAATTACCTCTTCAATATTCCTGACCCAGTTCCGAATATTCTCAAAAGACTTTTCATTGGTGATGTCGTACACTAACATAATGCCCTAAGGGTCAGAAGGAGAGAGATTGTTTCAGCCAGGGGTAAAGGCTCATCTGCAGCAGAGAGGAGCAATTTAACAAGGACTATTTTTAATGCAGTTGGTTCACAGTCAACGGCAGCAAGATAAGGGGCGCAGGATGTGTATTTATAGATTGGAACATGGGGAAAGGTCCCAGCATGGCCAGGAGCAGGAGCACAGCTCAGTGTCCAGTCGGGCACTGAAGGTCAGCTGTGCCTGTCCCACCTCAGCCCCAGCTGCCCTGACCATCCCAGGTGGGTTTATCCCAGCCCAGATCCCAGGATTGCTCCTACCATGGCTCCCCTGTAGTAGGCGGTGGTGATGGTCCGGAATCGCTCCTGCCCGGCCGTGTCCCTGGAACAGAAGGACAGGGGGCTCACACACCACCCCCACCACCACCCAAGAGTTAAAGAACTTCATTCGAACCAGTCTCCAGGCGCACTAGGGCTGAGTTTGAGCTTCTGAGATACAACAAACTACCAAACAGCACAGCCGGAATAAAACCACCACCCCGCCGTCCCCACGCACAGCCCCGGTGACCGCACACCCCCCGCGGCACGGGAGCCTCACCAGATCTGCAGTTTGATCCTCTTGCCATCGAGCTCTATCGTCCTAATTTTAAAGTCGATACCTGAAAAGGAGAAGCAACGAAATCAATCGCAGCTCACGAGCCGGGCGACCAAACCAGCGCTCTGTCTGCCCTTCGCTTTCGCTGTTCCACTTTCACGTCCTCAGAGCTCCCCCCGCGCTGGATGCCGGGGGACTCCGGGGCTGGGAGGCCGGGGCTGCGGGACCAGGTGGAGGTTCCCGGGCCGGGCGGGGCAGACCCCACAGACCCCTCCCGGAGCCCCCCCGGGCTCAGCGAACCCGCCACCCCCCCCGGCCCGGGCTCGGAGCCGCGGCGGCCGCAGCCAAGCCCCGCGGCGCGGGCCCGCGTGTGGCCGGGCGCGGGCTCACCGATGGTGGAGATGAAGGTGGCGTTGAAGGCGTCCTCGGAGAAGCGGAAGAGCGCGCAGGTCTTGCCCACGCCCGAGTCCCCGATCAGCAGCAGCTTGAACAGGTAGTCGTAGGTCTTCGCCATGTTCGCGGGCTCAGGCCCCGCCCTCTGCCCCGCCCCCTTGGCGCCCATTGGCCGAGCGCGGCGGGGAGCGCGCGGAGCTGGCGCGCCATTGGCGGGCGATCCCCAAGCCGATGTAAGCGGCGACGCGATTGGTGCGCGCCCTCCTGCCGGGTGTAAGCGGCGCTGTGATTGGCTCCCCCCCGCCCCCCCCGCGGGCGCGCCCAGTCACTTCCTGTGGGTGGTGGCAGTGGTGACGTCACCCCCGCCACTGCCCAGCGTGACGTCACGCGGAGAGAAGCGCCACAAAAAATCAACAAGGAATCCTCGGTTTTGTGAGAAATGTTTTAATATAGGAGGGCAGGGCTGGGCGGGGCCGCCGCTGCCCGGGGACAGCTTCTACCAGGTTATACAAAAGGAGTCACGAACCGTGCGGGGCAGCCACGGGCAGGACACGCGGGAGCTCCACGGGGGCTCCTTGGGGAGGTCTCCGGGGAAAGGTCCCCGAGTGACACCCGGAGCCTCCAGCGTGGCTGTGCTGGCCATAACTTAATTGGCTTTCCCGGGATACAGAGAGGGAGGAGGAGGGAGGAGCGCTGCGGGGACAGGCGGGTCCTTGGCCGCTGGCAGGTCCCTGCTCTCATCATATACAGTTCAGTTCGTTTAGCGTCTGGTCCAGTGTCTGGTGCAAGCCCAGGTTCTCCTCTTTGGCTTGGGCAAGTTTTTCTAGAGAGAAAGAAGGAAAACACAATTAAAGCCATGCTATCTTACAGCTTTTTCACTTTAATAAAACCTGTGGTGACTTACCTTGGTGTTCAACACACCTCAACAGCTGGAGCATCTTTTGGCAATTGCTCTCATTTTAGGGAGGGTTTTGGCCGGACTTGTGTTCTGACTCAACATGTGATGTACAGGACACATCCTGCTGTGTTTTCCTTGCACTGAGAGGTTTTTAACCAGGCAGATGGAGCACAAGGACACACCAAAAGCACCCAAAGCTTTTCGCTGCCACCTGTGTGTCCTGGGGACACTAAAACTGAGGGGTTTGCCAGTGCCAGATCCTGCCCTGGCTGTGTCTGCCCTTTCCTGTGTGAGGAGCTGAACATGTTTTTGGTGGTGTCACCAGTGCAGTTTAGGCAAGTCCCAAGAAAGGAAACCCCAAAGGCTGACAGGTAGAGGTATCGTGTTTTATTGAGCTCAGCGCCCACAGAGGTGGAAGGGGCACTTGTGGAAGTGGCACAGGAGTGACAGGGACGACAGGCAAGAAAAGCTTGAGAAACGCAGCGAGAGGGAGCCCCCCCCCCTGTGGCCCCACACAGGGGCAGGTCACAAAGAGGTCATGTCATTGAGGGCATGGTCAAGCTCCTCACTGATGGCTTTGTACTTCAGCTTCTGAGCGTAGAGCTCGTCTGTCGGTCAGCAGGGCCAGCAAGAAAGGCAGGCAAGAGAGGAGGCCACAGGAGGAGGAGACAGGCAGGAGGCAACAGCAGCCAAAGCAGTTGGGGAGGAAAACAAGAGAAGAAAACAGAGGCGTGGTTGAGTATCAGAAGGGAAGCAAAACACCCACACAGCTGCCCGGTCAGGAGCTTCACCTACGGTTCCTTTTTGCAATCCCACAATTATTTTTTCAGTAAGCAGATTAAGTAGGGTTGGGATCTTGAGCCCTTGAGTCCCTGAGTTGGCCCAAAGCAGGTTGTTGTTGTTCCCAACTTTTTGCGGGAAAACCTCTTTCAGAACTTCCCAGTAGACACATCACACCCATCTACCAATACACCTGCTGCCCTTCGCCAATAAACCCCACCACCCACTCCTAGAATTTGTTTTCTGATTTGGAACCAACCACTTTTAAAGAAATCTGAGCCATTCCATACCTTCCAGGTCATCAATAGACTTTTCCAGTTTGGCAACGGTTCTCTCTGCAAATTCAGCACGAGTTTCAGCCTAAAAAAAGTTGAAACAGAGTCACTGGATGCTCTTAAAAGAAATGATGCCAAAATTCAGGTTGGGGATGGCCAGACTCACTTCTTTCAGCTTGTCAGAGAGAATCTTGATTTCTTCTTCGTATTTATCTTCTTTTTCCGAGTACTGTGAAAACAATAAACACTCTTTAAGGGAAGTGGTAGCAACAATAATAAATGTTTATGAAACTGTGACCTATTTATAACCACTTTTCCTTTTACAACAGCTGCAAACCCCATTTCCGTGGTTTTCTCTTCTTCCCCAGGCTGTGCAGGCTGGTGTGGGCAGAACTGATGGAGCAGGATCCACAGCCAGGCAGCTAAAACCTCTCACCCTGCTTTGTACTTCTGGCTTATTTCTATGAATTTTATTTACAAGTTTTGGCTTTGCCTGTACCCCTTAGTTTGCTGCAAGAAACCAACCTTTTCAGATTGAGCTTCCAAAGACTTCAGGTTGTTTGTGACGTTCTTTAACTCCTCTTCGAGGTCACTACATTTACTATGGGGGGGATAATAAAAATATGAATTACTGGTGTGATTTAATTTTCAAAGAATTTCAAACATACAAGGAAGGAGGTGATTAAGTCTTAAAGGAGAAAAGTGGGTCTATAATGCACAAACAAGCTTTTCTACACGCCTGCCTACCAGGAGCAAATTTTTCTAATGAAATGCAGTGTTGACTCTCAGTGTATTCTAAGCAGTTACTCACACTTCAGACACCTCTGCACGCTCCTCAGCTCGTTCCAGTTCACCCTCCAAAATAACCAGTTTACGGGCAACCTGTAGAGACAAAACAGCTCTGTCAGGCCAGTCTGTCGTTCACAGGATCTCAAATGCTTTGGGTTGGGAAGGACCTTGAAGATCATCTCATTCTACCCCCTTGCCACGGGCAGGGACAGCTTCCTCATAGATTTCTCTCAAAGCACTACACTCCTGCTTCCTTTGGAATTAGAATAAATTAGAATAAAACACCCCCCCACCCCCAGACAGAACAGACTTCCCAATTAGTCGGATTTCGCAGCGCTTTTGGCACTAAGATGCTGCAAAGTCACTATGAAAACTCCTCTTCGCTGGGAACGTTCCAAGGTTGGAGCATCAACAAGTGCACGACGAGGGCCTAAAGCTGGGAGGGAAGTTGCTGCTCAGAGCTCCCCTGAACGTTTCACCATTTCCTTCTCCCTTTTTTACCTCCTCGTATTTGCGATCGGCCTCCTCGGCGATGTGCTTGGCCTCCTTCAGCTGCATTTCCTGAATCTCCATTTTCTCTTCATCTTTCATTGCTCTGTTCTCAATAACCTTCATTCCCCTGCAGAAGTCAAAGAGTGTTTAATGTAGAAGCGTTTCAGCACTTTTAATCTCCGAGGTCCTGAAGTGGAATTTGTTATTTGTAACCCAGAAATGGCCCATTATGACCGTCCATGTTCTTCAAGGCTAAAGGAATTACTCACTCAAGCTTGTAAAGAAGTTCTGAATCTTTGACCTGCAGATACTAAACTATACGGGAACATTTTATTCATATTTAATAAATTTTTTTTACCAAGAGAAAATCCCAAAGGGACATACCTCTCGCTCTCATCTGCTGCTTTCTCAGCTTCCTCCAGTTTCTGCAGGGCTGTGGCCAGTCGTTCCTGGGCACGATCCAACTCCTCTTCCACGAGCTGGATGCGTCTGTTCAGAGCTGCCACCTCCCCTTCAGCCTGTGAAACAACCACCCAGACCCCGGGTCACACTGGCTGCTGGAAAACCTTCTCAATTTATCAATTCCCTTAAAACTGCAAAGCATCTCCCCGGAGCTCCAGGGGCCCTTCTGCCTCTGCTTTTTGTTTGCTTAAACCGTGGCATCTCAGGAATGTCAAGGTATGGAGTGTGTGCTTGTCCTTTCTTTTTTTTTTAATGGTACTTATCATTCCTGCCACACAACAAAGGACAGGATTGCCAAAGGATCGAAGTATTTTTGGATCACTTTACTGGGCAGAATCTATCTACGGTTCAAAAACGAATTGTTCCCACAATGGCTTAGTTCCAAACCCTTCACTGTTGGTTTCTCTGCCCTTGGTTCCCTCCTGGACCACAGTCACAACCCACTGCTGAGGTCTGAGCCAGTTCCTTTTCCATCCTGGCTCCCAAGCCTGCAAACACTGAAGGATCTTCCTGGTCAGCAGGGCCTGACAGTTGGGCTCAACATGGCAGAGTCAGGCTTTTTGGGGGCAAAATTAGATATGTTCTTAAAATAAGTTCACTTTGCTTCCTGTGCTACTTCAGGAATTAGGCAGAAACCATCTCCTAATAAGGTCTGTTTGTATATAAACTGCTCAGTAATTGGAGTGCTAATAATGTATAAAAAAATATACTAACTTATAAATGGAGAGACTGCTGGGAGAAAGGCCTGATACAGACAACATGGACAAACTGGTGTCCATAAATATGTTTATTGAGATATGGCTCCTTTAATTGCTTGTTTTTGAAGGAAAATAAAGCCCTGCTTTCATAACTGCCAGGTTTGCACACTTTATTGTCCCCAAATCTGAGCAGGATTGCCATATGTAAGACAAACTTTTTTTTTTTTTTAAACACTTTTATGGGCTATAGACCCTGGAAGGGTGATTGTTTTATGCTTTATGTTAAAACACTTTGAAAAAAAAAAAAAGTGTTTTGCTGCAGCTTTGCAAATTTGGTCACTGACCACTCCTAAGCTGGAGGAAGTGGTTTCCATTCACAGCTGAGCCATCTTGGAAAGGAGTTCAGTGGCTGATCCAAATGGAAGCTGACCCAGGATTCCTCTAGTCATAAATTATCCAACATTTCATTTGTTTTTTACCCAGTGCTGTGTTTAACTTTCTCGATTTGCGCACAAGGCATCCATCGTGTACAAAACTGGCATCTGTTCTGTGGCAGCAACTCCTTCCTCTAGACAGGGCACTTTTAAGTCATATTTTAATTCAGCGAGATTCCAAAGCTCTGGAGCCGGGGCCACTGGGAAGCTGGGGTGAGCCTGGCTCCACCTCTCCCAGCAGCAGCCCGCAGTCCTTATACGGTAAAACTAACTCGCTGACATGTGATAAAATAGCAGGAAGATGCCGGGAAGGCTGATTACACACAAATCTAAGTGAAACCAGCTGTCCAGCCCCGGGAGAGCCGCACGCTAGTGGAGAGTTCGCGTTTCTCTGTGAGAAAAGCAGGAGGGAAAGTTATTTTTCAGCAGTTCGGACATTCCCCAGCTGTGCCGGAGCCAGCGGTGCGGCGCCGAGAGGCGGGAACTCCCCGCTCCGTGTCATGCAGCGCTTTTCCCTAATTAAACAGCCATTTCCTACTAAACTCGCAAGCGCTCCCCGGTGCCCACGGGAGCTCGAACGCGGGGCCGGTGGGTGTCCCTGTTCCGCGGGGATCGGCCCCAAAGCGCGAGAAGCGGCGGGCGCCGGGGCCGCGCCCGGTTCCCCCCGCGATGGGAGCGGCCGGGACGGGCCGGGACGGGACGGGATGGGGCGGGCGCTGCGGCAGCACCGGCGGCTCCCGCGGGCCGAGCGTGCGGAGCGGGGACAGCCCGGGGATGGAGGCGGCCGAGGGATGGGCGCAGCCCAGCCGTCCTCCCGCAGCGAGGGGAGAGCCGGGCGCGCCCCAGCGAGAGAGAGCCAGAGACAGGAAGGAAGGAGCAGCCCGGCAAGAGAGCGACCGAGAAGAAGGCGAGCAGGCAGCAGCCCCGGGCGGTCTCACTTTCTCCCGCAGGTCCCGTTCTAGGTCCAGCTCCCGCTGGAGGACCTGGGCGCGATCCTCCGCCTCATCCGCCTGTTGCTGCAGGCACTGGATCTTCCTCTTGACGGCCTCCAGGGAGCTCGGCGCGGCCATGGGCGCGGCGGGCACGGCGGGCTGGGCGCGGAGGTGCTGCACGTGGCGGCCCCGCGCCTTTCAATGGCCCGCTGACGTCACGGGCTGGAGGTGGAGGTAGAGCTGGTGACGTAGCCCAAAAGAGCCGGCGCGGGCAGGGACGGGACGGTCCCGCCCGTCCCCTCCCCGTCCCCATCCCGGTCCCTGCCCCTCTCCATCCATCCATCCATCCCCCTGCCCATCGCCATCCCCGTGCTGCTGCTGCTGCGGGGGATGCAGCCCGCGCGCCCCGGCCCCACCTCCCGCTCCTAAAAAAGCGAAGGGGGGGGGAGGTTCGGGGTTGGTGACGCCGCTGCCGGGCGGGCAAGGCCCCGAGGTGTGGCGGGGGAGCCGGGAATGCTCTTTAACCCTGGGGATGGAGGCAAAGGGCATCTTTGCGCCACAGCTGGAGCCCTGCTGCTGCCCCGGCTTCCCGCAGAGATCACCATTTTGTTTACGTGATGAAAGGAGATTTCAGCTTTCCTAAAGGATTCCCACCCACAGCACTTCCTTCCTCCCCCCCGTTTCAGTGCCGTCAGTTCTCCTCTGGGTGTCCATCGAGCCCCCGAGCGGCACCGGGTCCCAGCGGCAGCTGCGTGTGCCGCGGGCTCGGTGCAGAACAGCTCCGGGTCCCTCCGGCAGAGGGGAGAGGAGATGAAATCCCTGCACCACAACCCTGCCTTTCTATCCTCAGCCAAGTGCTGCAGTATAGAAATTCTCAGCCGTTCCCATCACCAGTGTAGTACCTACAGAATACACAGAGTTAGAGGGGAGTGGGTACATACATCAGTGGCCTTCTTCTCAGCCTGCTCCAGCTTTTCCTGGGCATCTTTGAGAGCCTCCGAGTACTTGTCCAGCTCATCTTCGGTTCCTTTCAACTTCTTTTGCAGAGCTACCAGCTCATCCTCTACCTTTCAAAAGAGAAAACCCCAAAGTGAGCATCTTGATATAGTATCAGATACAGTTTAATATGATAAAACCTCTCTTTACTATTAGTTCAACCCAGTGTAACATACAAAGAGTCACAAAAGACCAGATCAAAGTTCTGCTGGGGACAACAATCTGGGAATGACTGGTAGTAGTTGCCAGGGAAAGATCACTAAAAACATCTCACCCTTGAAGAACATTCTCTGCCACTGCACACGTGGCATCTATGTTAATACAGAACTCGGTATAAGCCCTTTTTCACCTCATTTTTTATTTTGGACACCCTGCAACAATCAGTTTTGCAGCATAATTATAAATGTTTTTAAATTATGTCCCTGTGTTTGTTCCAAGACTTGGTGATTTATCAGGAAACTATTCAGTTCCTGTACAGCTGGAAAAAAATGAGTGGTCATTCCCTAACCACCTTTGTGTGAGGTTCAGGACACTTCAACCCAAATGGAAGTGGGAGGGAACAGGGCTGGCCCTGCTGTAGGAGGGACTTGGTGACCCTGGCAGGTCCCTTCCAACCTGGGTTATTCCCTAACTGTGGCCCAGCAAGACATGCTCCATCCTACCGTGAGGCTCAGACTCCTCCATACCATATAAATCCATATTGTTCACTAGAATGGTGCTATTTATAACCTGCTGGGAGAGTGTTTAATGACAAACTGTCTCATGCTCCCTGAAGAATTCACGTTATCAGAGGCTGGCTGCTGATAAGGGTGGGCCTGCAAACCCATCTGCTCCATCCTTTCATTTGCAACTCAAAACAGCTCAGTCTGCCGAGAAACTGATTTATCTGTTCAGCTCCACCTTCACAGAAATTTAGTCTATCAAAATAGTTTGTGTTTTGATGCACTTCCTTCATTTTAGTTTCAACGACGAAGACATTTTTGGCAGTGTGGTATTCTGGAACGTTGTTGTGTCACAGTAGTTTTACTCAGAGTAACCAGAGAGTGTGAGAGAACTGAAACCTTGCTTGGGTGCAGTGGGACAGTGAGCAGCAGGATGAAGGTGATGCTGCCTTTGTGTACGAATATTAAAATCACTACTTGAGTACTGTGCCCACATTAAAAAAAAAAAAAAAAAAAAAAAAAAAAAAAAAAAAAAAAAAAAAAAAAAAAAAAA